ACCCCAAAACCCCAAAACCCCAAAACCCGCAAATAGTGAATTGAAGATAAGATAAGAAATGATTAATTTTAGTACATATATACATTATAGAATTTAAATTATTCTTATAAAATAATTATCATGTTTTACGAGCATAGAAAGACTTCAGATTCTCTTGATGAAAGCTATCAAGTTGATCACAAATATTCTATCACTGATAATCAACTTGATGAGACAGATATTAATACGAACAGCAGAAGCCCAGATTTCCTGAAGGTTTAAGCTGACATTGTATATGATAGCGGATTTGATTATCCTAAATCCAATAGAAAACATAACTCAAATCAATATTTTCTGAGAGATTCCAAAGAATCTATTTAACATATTTAACAAGACACTAAGAATCATTATAGAAATTTAACAATTCTAAAAAATCAAAACAATGTGCAGAGCATAGCCGTAAATATGGGATCAGGTGTAATAGGCACTGGTGGATTTAGTGGAGGTGGATTTGATCATGACTTGGAATGCGAGGAAACTGATTTCAAGTATCTAGATGAGGTAATCTTCAAGGTTAAGGAGGGACTAGAATAGTAATACCAATTGTCTGATTATATTGAGGCTCTACTTTAGGAAATAAACATAGAAATCAACGAAGAATGGGAAGCTATAATAGCTGAGGCGAAAGAAAACTATAAAACACATAAAAAACTAATTGATATTTCATGTAAATAATATTTTCTTATTCCTTAATCTACTTTAGCTTTTTTGCTAGAGCGCACATAAGTTTCAGTAACAGAAGGCAAAGGTCTCTAAGCACTAAATAACAATCTACTTAAAGAAATTTCAAGAGTCAAAGAATAAAATGATTTCCTAGTTGTAAGGCTAATTTAATAATAAGATTTATCCTTCATATTGATTATCAATAATTTATATTTAGGAAGAATTAAAGGGTCTCCAGGTGAAAAACAAGAATCAAAATGAAGCTTTGAGATAATAAGATAAAACAATCTAGTCGATGAATGAATAGATTTAATATCAACTGGATATGATTAGAAAGTTGGAAAAAGACTCAATCGTTTCAAACCCTTCTTCTGCTAGGAACTCATTGCTTAAACCAGGAGAGTATCCTGATTTTTAAAATTAATTAAATGAAAAGAACAAAAAGATTGAAGAAATAGAATAATATCTGAGCGAGTAAACTAGTAATTATCATTCTGAAGTCTATAAAAATCAGAATCTTCAGGCTTTACTTAAGAAGCAAAAAGAGGAAAACAGTTTACTTAAAGATTAAATTGAGCAGCTATAGTACTTTATGGAAGAAAAAGATGATAGAATCATTGAAATAGAAGGGTAATATAGGATGATTGAGGAATAACTTACAAGGAAAGAATATGAAATAAAAAATATGGTAACCAATGTAAATTAATCCTCAGGAATGATGATGAGACCTTATAATAAAATACAAATGAGTATTGATAACCTACCTAAATTTTAGCATCATCACTAGAATAGTATTTAAGACTTAAGCCAATCTTATTAATCCAATATCGAAAATACTGTTGGACATCGAAGAAAGGTATTTAATTTATGTGGAAGTTCACAAAAATGGTCTTAAGAACTAGAGACTGCTGTAAACAAATTAAAGAGCACCAAAAACAGTTTTATGCAAAGAAGTTTCATTGTCTAACAATCAATCAAAGAAATAACAAGAGCTCATCACAAACGTATGCAAACAATAACGAGTAATGAGGTGAGAAATAGCTACTCTAATTTTGATATTCAGCAAGAAAACTCAGAACTTATCAACTCTCCAGAATTCAATAAGAGATAAAACAAAACTCTAATGGGCTAGGATTATATAATAAAGGTGAGTGAATCTAAAGATGAGTCAAATCCTAGTAACAACACTAACACTCATGTACTCAGAATAGAAGACTTTAGTCCCAACTATAAATCCTCAAATAAGGTAGATTTTTTGAAAGTTTATTAATCAGAGGAAAGCAAATTTGACATCAACGATCATATATCACCTAGAAAGTCTAATCCATACAGCAATTTTAATGAAGATGGAGAAGATGAGGTTGATGAAGAAGATGATGAGTAATTGGAGGACGAAGATGTTGTCAATTTAAATACAGCTAGAAAATCTAAAAGTAGTAAAAACAAAACAAATTAGCTAAGCACATAGAAATCTAATTTGATTGGCATTAATGAAAGTCAGTTGATGGAGTTTGGAGACAACAGTAACAATCTTGGAGCTACATATGCTGATCAAAGCAACTTTGATTATGCAGAAAAAATTGATGAAAGCAAGGCATCTATTAAATTTAACAGAAATTAAAAGTAACAATCATAAAATGAAAGAAATCAAGGCTCAAGCGCCACAACAAAAGACACTAAAGAACTAAGAGACTAGCTTAATGAGTCTCCTAATTCACTTAGAGTGCTTCCGTAAATAGTAACTGTAAATAACTACAATATCAATTAAAAAATTGATATCAATAACTTTTTGAGTGATGTATAAAACTACGGATCATTCCAATAAAACTTGACAAACAATACAAACAATAACACATTCGACAAAAAAAGTTAAAGAAACACTACAAAACAAAATAAAAATTAGAATAATACAAGCAAGATCAATCTAAAATCTAATAAATAGTAAAATGATAAAAATACCACATTGAATGAAAGTGTTATTTTAAAGAATAGGAAAGTGCTTGAATCTCTTTAGTCTTTTGGAATAAAGCAAGCAAAAAATATGAAAGCGTCACCTAAACAACAAATGGAGGAAATTAAGCTAGACTTTTACAAGGATTAAATTAGTGGCCTATAAATTGGAAATTAGCTCTCTGAAAAATCATTTAGATCAATCAAATAAAATTACAGTGATCTTAATTTAATGACAGTTGATGCTGAAGACATTGAAGATGTTTAAAGAACTTATTTGATATCATAACTTGAATAAAATAATGAGAGATCAATGCTAGTTCAAGAAGCTGTTAATTCCAAGATTTGTATTGAAGACATTAATTAGAGAATTTCTAAAATGCAAAAAGATGCCCTTTTAGAATATTTTATCATTACAGTTTTGGCATTTATCATGAAACATCCTAAGAGGACTTCATTACTTGAAATTGATAAGTTAAAGCTATATTAGAGTGCTATTAAAAATAACATACCTTTCTATAAATGGAATAGATGGATAGAAAAGAAAATGATTGAGATCTATCACGAAAGAAAGAGAGTCAAGAATGCGCAGCTAAGAACTACTTTCTTTGACCCCAAATCATGGTTTGGAAAGCTAAAGAAAAATCAAAGCTAGGATTACTAAGTAATAGAAGATTTTTATAAATCAAAATGAAAATACTCTTAAGATTACACTTTTTAAGGAATTAATATCTAATTAATATGAAATGAACTAAAACTAAATTGCATAGGATTAACTAACTTAGAAATCATAATTTTTAATTTCTCATTCAATTTCAATCTATATGAGGTATAATTGTCTTTTGGGGTTTTGGGGTTTTGGGG